GATTCACAGACAAATGAATCTGAGCAAATCTTTTTAAAGATTCATTCTAAAAGACTTTGGAGTAAATATAAATCTAATTCATCGTTTTACTGATTCATCAGCTTTTGAATTCATTGGTTTTGAAATACAGTGCCGAACAACATCCACTTATTTGTGATCAATTCTATTTTATTGAAATAATGATGCATTAACGTGGAACTTTAGTGAGTGAGTCATATGCTGATCCGGATTCAGTCAGTTCATTCATTGAACGGTATGTCAGAAGAATACATATATTAATAACTAGGCCTATGTAAAATGGGAATAAATAAGTAAAAAGTCAAATGTATGTCATCAGTTGCAGTTCTCTTCCATGAGGACAAATGTTTTTGCCATTATCCTCCTGAAGTTCACTTGAACCATGTGCCAGACCACTGTTTCAAGTTGAATCAGGAAACACAGGATAGAAAAAGCACACTGATATGAAATCAAGCCACTCTAAAAAATGCTGGGTTGTTTCAACTTTATGTCAAATATGGACAAACCTGAACGTTGGGTTAAAATTGTAATAATAAAAAAATAACCCAATGGGTTTGTCCACATTTGACCCAAAGTTGGGTTTAAACAACCCAGCATTTTTTAGAGTGTTAGTGTTCAGGGTTGGGGTCTGTTGGACTCTAGCATAATGTTTCTGTGTGTTTCTGCCAATGCAACATGCTGTCATGCTACACACGGGAAATGGTAAGATCCAATTGCAATATTTTATTAGGAAAGGGTCAAACTCCGAATAGTCAATAAGCCCAAACATAGGAACAAAAACAAGAAACCAGCAAACCAGAACTTCGGAAGTGACATGACATGTAACACGGACTGAACAAACAGGGTATATACAGCATACACACAGATACTAACAATGTGACGGGAAACAGCTCTGTGGAATGATCAATGAGCGACAGAACAGGATGATGGGAAATGTAGTATGATTGAATGACATACTATGGTGGTTACCCAAGGACACACAGTGACACGTGCTGCATTACATCTTTCCATCTCTAACCTTCAACCAACTACAGCTGGAGTCAAACCCCGGCAAACTTATCGCCAATGCTAAAGTGCACACGTGTACTGGTAGACACATCGATGCGCTTCCGCTACGCTACGCTTTGATCATTTAAGCATTTGCATAGCGGGAAGAAACATGTAAAAAAGCCATGCAGGCGATATGTCATTCTGCTCTTTTTAAACACAATCGAGGCAGCTGAAGAGAGAGGCACTTTTTTATAACACGTCCTCTTTATCTGTTCAATCGGTCCTCCTCATGTCCCCGAATGTCACTCATAATCTGTAAGGTCATATTTGAACATGTCATCTCAAGACAGGAGGGAGATGAAAGGGCGCTAGGTGGAGGATAAGAGCTTGCTACGTGAGTGAGAGGGGTGAGACGTGAAGGTTAGGAAGGGACGGGTCGAAGCCCTCACTGTCATGGCTTCAGAGTGGATGACGCTATACACGACAGCGCAGTCTCAGAGATGTTGCAAAACGATGCTCTGAGGTCATTTTAACCTTGTTTGACTGGATTTTGCAAAGTGACTGGATTTTTATGGCTGTGGCTTTTCATGTGATATTCTATCTATTAAAATAAATGTAACTTTCAGCTTATTGAATACTTTGGCCATGTTCAGACTGCCAGCAATTATTTTTTTTTTTGGGCATTTCCAGATTTTATTCGTAGTGGATATAAGACACATGCCTTTGGTGTGAGAGACCCGGGTTCGAATACACTGTGAGAGACCACTATGTGTCCCTGAGCAAGACACTTAACCCCTAGTTGCTCCAGAGGACATATTTTGCAATTTTAAGTCGCTTTGGATAAAAGTGTCAGCTAAATGAATAAATGTAAATGTAAATGTATTCAGATGAGTTTTTACAGAGCCCTTAAAAGTATATGGTGAAGGAAAAAAATATGAGATGGGAGGAAAATTATTTGGCCAAGCTTTTGGAAATGTTTTGCGTCCTCACGAGAAAATGTGTTCACTCGCAAAATGTTTGCGTTCCCTAGAGAGTTTTTAATGACACATAACTATGTCTTTATTTGATTTGGTTTATTTCATTATTTTTTCATACATATTCTAAATATTTAAAAATACCTAATGTAAACCTTTAAAAATATATTCCAAATGTCAAAATTCAGATAAGAAAATGGTCGGAAAATAATGTATTACGGTTGTTTTTGAATTAAATATATATATTTCTTCAAGCTTGTTCACATGACATCTTCAGCCTTACTGAAACAACATTTTTTCCTGAAATCCTGCCAAATGAGGGGAAAAATCTTGGAGTATATGCTTGCTGTGGCTGATTGTGTTTCTGAGAGGACGAATATCCCCAGTCTGTACGACGTCACAAATCCAGCTCCCATGTTTCCAGGAATTTGGTCGTATGTACCACTGATTAAGGTTTTTAAAACACACTCCAGACAATCCCAGTTGCAGACACTCCAATTTGGTGAACCTTTCACCTCTTTTAAAGTTGGAGCGATGGAATATGATTTTGCACTGGGTGGGAGAAAGCCATGGTCAGAGCTCTTTCACAGAGGGTCACAGGCTACTATGTAATACTGTTGGCCGCTGGCCACAGGGTGTGTGTGTGTGTGTGTTTAGGTTGAACTCTAGCTGATGTAAGATGGATTAGGGCTCCGATGGGAATACCAGCTGGCTCTCATTTCTCCTGTCCCTCCAAAATCCTCATCTTATCTAACAGCCCGAATGTTATTAGAGAGAAAAGAGTGTGTGTGTGTGTGTGTTTGAGAGAGCGAGAGAGAGTGAGATTTGAAGAGATCAGAGAGAGAGAGAGATAGAGAGAGACAAGAGAGAGATAGAGAGAAAGGAAGAGAAATGACAATATGGGGAAATTAAATACATCATTTATTTGCCCTCCTAAAGCCAATACGTGTATTATGGCATTTTTTTAAAGGTACAGCACACCCAAAAATGAAAAAATTTAATTGATTTTGCTCATCGTTCCAACACACAGACACACACATTCTTTCTTTCGGTTGGTTAATTTCTTTCAGTTTAATCTTTTCTATGAGTCTTTTGATCCAGTTGACTGCTACTGCAACTTCCATAGAAATGATTTTCAGTGAATAAGGATTTCAATTTTGGTCTGGTATATTGTATGATTTCAGAAGAGTTGTGAATGCAGAGCGTGAGTCATGTAGACCCATGTTACAATGCTTTATTGCTTCTGTGTCCGTTTTTAAGCTTTTAGGCTCAACATTCATAACATTGCAAAGCAAAAGTCGTCAATAATCCTTTACAGAAGAAAGATGCCTGGTTTAAAATAACGCAAGCATGATTAAATAATGCCAGAATTGTATTTTTAGTTCAATCTGTCCTTTAAATCCCACTGGACTTGGTCTTTGGAGAAATGCAGAGTGTATGATTGAGTATTGGATAGAGGGTGGGAGAAGTGACAGGGAATGGCAGACCTCTCTCTACCTCAGTCTAGATTGGTCTGTCATGGGTCTTTATGGGACCCGGGGTTCACCGTGAGGTCAGTTTAGACATCTGATGGATTTGTGGTGGTTGAGACTTGTTTAAAAAACTATTTGTCTGCAATGTGAGATGCTGATAGAAGTATATTCATCAGAGAGACACCAGGGCTTGAGTGATATTCACACACGCTTTTCTCTCAGCCATTAACAAGAGTGATATGGCAGAGATGGAGATATGCATCACGACGACGCTTACGTTATTTACTAAGCTCCTGTCTGCCAAAGTACGTTTACTTAATGAGACAGATTTAGAGGCTTTTCTCACACACACCAGATGAGCCTCTGTGACGCACCCTTGACTCAGTTGACAGTCACATGAAGTTTTTTAGAGTTCAGAGCGGAATATGTAAAACATTTGTTTTCCTCAAAGATTAAAGCTACCAAAAATAATGCTTGCAATGCGTTAATAATTTTCTCAAGCAGGAGCACAGCCATATTCCATATGCAAATGCATTCAGATGATGTCTTTAAATACTCCTCTGAAAAGTGTGTTTTTTTCTTTCACCCTGCAGTTAAAAAAGGTTAATTATTCCCAGTCAACAGATCTGACGTTTAACTATGCAATTAATCTTCTTGCTCATGAGGGACAGAGAGGTAGTCGCCACTGTGAGATTGTGTCTGCGTGAAGATGTTGGAAGTATGGAAGTAATATTGGAAGGAAGTATATTGGAAGGAAGGAATTTAGAAATTTTCGAATTTTGCAAGGAAGGAAGGAATTTTTGAAGAAGGAATTTAGAAGTTTGAGAAGGAATTTTGGAAGGAAGGAAGGAATTTTGGAAGGAAGCTTGGGGGGAATTAAGGAAGGAAGGAAGCTTGGCAGGAAGCTTGGAAGGAAGGAAGAAATTAATTTTGGAAGGAAGGAATTTTAGAATTTTGGAAGGAATACATTTTGGAATTTTGCAAGGACGGAATTTTGGAAGGAAGGAATTTTTTGAACAAAGGAAGGAAAGAATATGGAATTTTGGAAGGAAGGAATTTAGAATTTTGAGAAGGAATTTTTGGAAGGAAGCTTGGGAGGAAGGAAGGAAGGATGTTTGCAAGAAAGGAAGGAAGCTTGCAAGGAAGGAAGGAAGGAAGGAAGAAAGAAAGAAGGAATTTTTGAATTTTGGAAGGAAGGAATTTAGAATTTTGAGAAGGAATTTTGGAAGGAAGCTTGGGAGGAAGGAAGGAAGGAATTTGGAAATTTTGGAAGGAAGGAATTTTAGAATTTTGGAAGGAAGGAATTTTGGAAGGAAGGAAGTTTGAAATGAAGTAAGGAAGTTTGGATGGAAAGAAGGAAAGGGTTTGGAAGGAATGATGGATGGATGAATGCTTTGTGACTTTGACAGAGAACAATAACATATCTGGTCTATTGTGATTTTCTTACTAAACATTCCTACAATCTACAAGAAATGTGCCACTGCAAAAATGAACTTTCTTGTGCTGTCCAATGCTTAGGAACATTTCTGTCTTACTGTTTTTGCAGTTTTCCATGATTCTGAGACGCCGTGGTGAGCTTGTCAAGTGGACTCTTCCCTCACCTGGCCTGCGTGTGCGTCTGCTTCACTGTGAGCCGGAGGAGCGAGAGGTATGAGCTAGTAGAGGTAAACAGAAGTCACCCCAGTCGAGAAAGAGCCAGAAAAATGTGTCTGAAAAAATTATAAAGAATTGTATTGAATTATTTGCTGTCTGAATTATGCACAGGGGTTTTCATCCACAGTTTTCTTTATCCCCAGAGGTAGGTCTGGTTATTGATGAAAAATTGAACAAAAGACAAACTCTTGATTTTATGATTTTATTTTGATTTCCATTCCACTTGATTCGACTTTTATTTTAAAGTCTGTTTGTGATTCACTTTTTCATAGTGAACACTACTCATGCAGTATATGTTTTTTGATTCATTGAAAAGAACCTCATTCGTGTTGTGTTTGAATTTGTGTGAAGCCCA